TTTATTTTATTTTTGCCAGTCGTGGGGCCTGAACTCTGGGCCTGGGCACTGTCCCTCAGCTCTTCAGCCCGAGGCTAGTGCTCTACCACTTGAACCACAGCGCCACTTTTGGCTTTTTCTGCTTATGTGGTGCTGAGGAATCGAACCTAGAGCCTCATGCATGCAAGGCAAGCACTCTACCACTGAACCACCTTCCCAGCCCCGTATTGCTTATCCTTAACTCCAGTTATTTGGTTTCCCGTGGCTGTTACTGAATGGCTGGAGTTTGCTATATCTTCTTGTTAGCAACTCTTTCTCCAGTGTCTATATTGCATACTTTTTCCACCATTCTGTCCATTGTGTCTGAACACTAGTATTTCCTTTGCAGAAGCTTCTTGTTTTTCTATCATCCCATTGTCTATGTTTGTTTTGGTTGGCTAATTTTGAGGTCTTATCCAAGACCTCCTTGTCCCTTCCTATCTCCTGAAGCATTTAATGATTCTGTTGTTCTTTGTTGTTGTTGTTAGTTGTGGGGCTTGAACTCAGGGCTTGGGTGCTATCCATGAGCTTCGTTGAGCCACAGCTCACTTCTGATTTTCTGGTGGTTAAATGGAGATAAGAGACTTTCCTGCCCAGGATCACTTAGAACCACAGTCCTCAGATTTCAACTTCCTGAGTAGCTAGGATTACAGGCCTGAGCCATGGGTTCCTGGCTGATTCCACTGTTTTTATTAGGTGTTCATTTTAGTTATGCACAGAGAAGCAACAAGATTTTAATCTGAGAAAGTCATGTTTTGCAAACCTTGGGGAAAGGTTTGACATTTGTTAGTTTCTCTGTTGGCATAAAGTTTATATAATTAATTATATGCCATTATTAAGAAGCAGTCTTGAATCCTTAGTTCATTTCTGTCAGGCACTCAATAGTTTGAAAGTGAAGCGCATGACCCTTGAATGCAAAGCAGACTTGGGTGGGAGCCTGACTATCATTTCCCGAACCTCTCCAGCCTCAATTTCCTAATCTATAGAATGAGTAGACAATTAGGAGTCATCTCACTGGTTCAACTCGCTGTCAAAGGCAAAGCTCCTGTCACCATGTCTAGTCTGTGCCACCTCATCTACATAAACCCTTGGCAGTGGCCACGTCTGTGTGCCTCATAGAGCTCGCAGAAAGTCTCTTGTGTTTGGCTGGCCATTTCTCCTATGGATCTACGCTATTGACATCACCATCAAAGGTCTCTTATTCCGTGAAGAGAAGCTTGAGTTATACCTGTGAAAGTACTTTAAAGACTGAATGTTCTAGCACTCTGAATGGAGGGTGGAGAATGTGTTGCTGGATTTTCTTCCCTTTTTAGTTTTCCTCCCCTTTTTCCCTTCCCATTATTTAGATGGATGTAGATTATGAGCCACAGCGGGCCCTTCTCCTCCCCCATCCTCCACTTCCTCCAGCTTGCTCCATCCTAATTTTTCTATGGAAGAGGCTGTGAACACCCAGAACAGTCTCTTACTTTCCTCCTGCTTGTTTATTCTTTGCAACCAAATGTCAGAAGATGGGGAGGTGCTTTCAAAGTCCCTTCTGTTCAAACACAAAGTCGATGATCACTATTCTTATTGGACAGTATCATTGTTTTCCTTCATTTTTGCCTGTGGATCTCAAAACTCAGGTAGTTACCTCTTTGCAAGATATAAAGTTTCTATGGGAAGTAGCAGGAGGAGCTCAAAGCATCTCAGGGCACGGAGGAAGCATGGTTGCCTTCACATAGCTTTGTGGGAGACACAGCACTTCTGGGCAGGAGATGACCTAAGAGGCCATGGACAAAGTATGCAAAAAGCCCACCTGATCACAGCCTGAGAAATTCCTCCCTTCCCACTTCTCGGTCCTGAAGGAGCCAAACTGTGTCTCATTTTAGCACCTCTCCAACACTTACTAATGTCCCTTTGTAATGAAGTGAGAAGACAGGCTTCTGAGAAGCGCTTTCAGCAAGTGACAAAACCTAGCTAGAATGTAATCACTTTTCCCCACCAGGGTTTTTTTTCATGGTTTTCATTCTCACTGTTAGCTTCTATTCGTGGCAAGAGATACTGGTTTTCCATTTGTGTGGTCATTGTCAGTTTCCTTTTCAGGGATGTAAGCAAAAAATTAGAGTTGAGTAAAAGAGAAGTAGTGAACAAATAACGTAAGTATTGTGTGTATCTGGCCAAATCATGGAATGTGTGAAAGATGGGAAAGGACAAGATTTTGAGGAACTGTCTTTGGTGCAACAGCAGATCTGGTATCTTTGGGGCTTACTTCCAAAGTTGTTCCTCCTTCCCTTGAAACCAGATGGCCCCATGTAGTAATTCATGACAGGCTCTGTGAACATATAAAGCCGAAGTTGTTTTTTTTTTTTCTTTCCCTCTCTCATTTTTTCAGGAGAGGGGATCTGTGGTACTTGTTTCCTTTGGCTTTCTCAGAAACAGCTAGGATTAAGGGAAAGGAGTATTTTCCTGTATGCTCAGCTGCATGTAGCTCCCTTCAGCAAATCCTAAGTTCCAGAGTTAGAACCTCCAGGTCTAGAGAAGGAGGTCATAGTTATTTGTAGAAGATTTGGCTCAGCATTGTAACCTGGGCACCGGGTATAAGTAGTGTTTGTCCTACAACAAGTATTGAACAAGTATTTGATGAAAGAGAAGAGAAGGGAGAAAGGGCAAAAACTAGATTTGTTGATTTTCATGAGGTTTACAAGAACTACCACTGAAAAATTTCCTAGCCTAAGGGCTGCTACATCCAGAAGTATTTATCATTATGATAAGAAGGAATTTATGTAGGGATGCTGCAAAAGAAAATGTGGTTTGGAAATTTCCTCTAAATGCCTTTGGAACAATCTGGGTTCTTACGGCAAATAGGCTTGTTCTTTCCTTCACCTTCTCTTGGTAACTCTTAGTCAATCTTTGTCTACTGAAGCTGCTGTCGCACAATGGTGTAGGGTTGTTAGCCTGTAAACCCCAGGAAATTTGTTCTCATTCTAATGGAGGCTGTAAATTCCAGATCAACATGTAGCCAAACAGATTCTGTATTTGACCAATGTCAGTTTCTGGTTTCTGGTGCCTGTGTATTGTGTCAGCATGTGGTGCAATGGGGCCAGGCAGCCCTGTGGGGCTTCTTTATCAGATACTCTGTCCTTAGGGTCTCATCCTCCTGAAGATCCTGCCTCCTTCCAGTAGTATCTCGTGGTTGATTCCGTTTCTAAATACTGATTTGAGGAAAGACAAACACAGCCTGAACATCATGCAGAGTTTTTTAAAACACACAGTAAGGTAAAAGTCCATAGACAGAGAGGCATCAAGGAAGAGCCTGCAGAGCTGTAATGGCATAGACAAAATTGGAGCACAAAACTCCGAGTTGCCTCACCGTGCAATTGGACCAGTTGTCTAGTTATCATCCTACTCCTCCACCATCACAGCCAAGTGTTTACTAACTTTTTTGAATCAAAGCCAATGAGTCAAAAGTGGACTTCACTCTGTAGCTAGGGCCTAGGCATTGCTCATATTTATTATTTAAATCAGAGGTGGGAGATGTTTGACCACCAAAGTATAAGACAAATGTTTAGGGCTGTACTGTGGACCACCAACCAACCCACTGGCAGGAATTTGTGTGTGGATGATGTTGCGTGGATTATTTATCAGTCTGCTGTCTTCCTTCACTGACATATTGTCTCCTGAGCACACCTTGTTACTTGTAGCTTAAAGAGAAGTACCTCAGATGCAAGGCTTTGAACTAGAAGGCTTGCCAGACCCAAGAACCAGTGTGAATCAGAGACAGTCAGCCTTAGGAAAAAAATGTAGAATACTATTTTAAACAAGATGCTATTATATTGTTTGTGTGGCTGTGTCACAATGAAACTCCCCCCTTGTACAAGTAATGTATGCAAAACAATTTAAAGACATATTAGGTTGCTTTGTACTTAGCTTACCACATCAGAAACAGTCCAGTTTCAAATGTGTGAAGTAATGGGTTGAATGGAAGCAGTAACATAGATGCACATGTCAAATCCCTGTGGTTTATGAAAACAGACCTTTTATATGTAATTTATTTAAAGATGTTGAAACCTCCAGGAGATCATCTTGAAGCATACAAGTGGTCCTAAATCCACTGGCCCATGTTCTTATAAGACCTATGCAGAGGAGAAAGAAAAGAGAGAGAATGAGCAACAGAGATGAACATGATTCTAGAAGACACTAAGGGTCACCAGACATTGGGGAAGATTGGCATGCAGCAGACCCTCTACCAAATGCCCTAAGAGGAGAGCATGAGAAAGCCCATTTCTGTTGGAGTTTAGATTTCTGCCCTCTAGAACTGTGAAGGAAAGACTACAGTACAGCTTTATATCATTTTTATTGGGGAATTACTTCCAGTAGTTACAGGAAACTTATGCAACCTGTGTTGGTGATGGGGTTGGTTTGGAGAGTGACTCATAGGCCTAAGGCTATTCCCAAAGAGAGTTGAAAAAAATAAGAACACCCAAATTCCTGTGTTCAGTTATTTGTAGCCACATTAGGTATAGATGAAGTTTCATTTTCTATGGAAACTCTAACCTGTCTTGTATGAATATGCCAGAGGAAAGAAAGAATGCACTCTCAGAAGTGTTCTTTCAGGACATCAACAACGATGTGGGTAACAGGCACCCAACAACCATCAAGTGTACACAGTATCAGGAGCTTTCTCTGTGTCCTTTTCTTACATTTGTCCCCCATACCCAGCCTAGTCCAAGGTGTCTGCTGACTATGTTTCCTGAGGCTAACTGCACTACTCTTTAAATTCTGTCAGTGTTGCTTTCCTGAAGTGAAGGCAGAAGGCTGTAGGTGAGAAAAGGCTGTCCATTTCTTATTCTGCCGAAATGGAAACTCTGTGATTCTTACCTGTGCCATAGCAAGCCGTGGTTCACAGGAACCACAGTTGCCCTCAGCGTGTAGCTTCCTCGACTGGACCTTTCCAGGACCCCAAAGTATGAATTTCTGTCAGTCAGCACACAGATAAATATTTTAACTACCATTTTTATTTTCATCCCAGCTGAGGAATGGTTTAGAAAAGGCTCTATTGTAAGTGTGCAGCAAGAAAAGTGTGCCAGGGTTGTCAATGCTGTGGGTTTGAAGTTAGACTGCCAGTCATCGCGATGGAAGATTTCCCTCCCGGCTTCCTCGAGTGTGATAAACTGCTTTGCCAACGGCTGCACAACTGCAGTGTGCTATACCACGGAGCACTAGAGCACGAGGCCTATTTCCTTATGCCTTGGGATTTGTTTCAGTGACTTTTATGCCTGGAAATGACAGAACATAAAAAGAGACATTGAGTTAGAACTGGTACCTGTGTTTGAGTCATGGCAATACACAAAAATCTAAGTGTGTTGACTGCTAATCTGTTACATTGCCATGTATACTTTAGAGGATGCATACTGATATGTTCACAGATGACCTATAATAAAGGGATTCCAGCCCCCTTGATGCCTCTAGTCACTAACTTCCCTTGCCCCCCACCCCCATAATTCTCTGGGTTCTTTGCCCAGTGTTTATGTCTAAGGGGTCTGCTGCCAGACCACTCAAGGAGTATATGCCATTGATATGAAGGATCTATGCAAAGGAAGCAGGTCAGGTCTTCTTTCAGTAATAGGCAAGGTTCGCCGCCAAACATTCATGGCCACCATTGTCTGCCGAGCATGTTAAAACCACACATTTCTTGACCCAGTGCCCAATGGCTCTTGCCTGTTACCCTGGCTACTCAGGAGGCTGAGATGGGAGCATCAAGGTTCTAAAGCAGGCTGGGGAAGAAAGTCCAAGAAACTGTAAGGCCCCAAAAGCCAGAAGTGGAGCTTTGAGTCAAGTGATAGAGTGTCAGCCTTGAGTAAACACTTAAGGGACAGTGCCCAGACCCTGATTTCCAGCCCCAGTACTGAGCACAAACAAAAAATAGATTGACTCTCTCTTAACCCCCCATACATTTGCAGGTGTAGATACAGAATAGGATTCTGTGTTTTAAAACAAGGTCTCCATGATAGAAGGGGTACAATGGATTGGAATTAGATGTATACATAAGTGCTGATGTAACCCTAAAATTCTTCTGGTATAAGTGATAAAAATTTCAACTTCTATAACAGAAATCTAACAAGCTCATCATGATGAATCTGAGGTACATCCCTTACAGATTTGGGAAATAGTTTGTAGTGAGCATAATCTAGTATGGGGCAGAGCGAAAGCCATTTCCATTGCCCACTGAGGAAAAGGAAAGTATATGGTATCTGAAAAGAAAGTTCCTTGTTACAGAGTGGTCCCTATCCACACCCAGGAGACTGTCCATTCATGGCCTTCCTCTTACTGCAGCTCCCTGGGGGAGTCCAAAGATGATAATTCAGAGAAGAAGCTTCCTTTATAAGAGAGAACCCGGCGTCACAAGGGGAGAGAGCTAAAGACTTGATGGGTTGTATGGCCTGGCCTTGGGGGAAGGCTGAAAGAAAGGGTAGTGAGGCAGCTGCCATGGCAGAATACATGAAGAGATTTGCAGACGTATCACTGAGTGGCACAGGTAGATGTGCTCAGTATTCATAGCCGATTTCAAAAAAAATTAATGGCATTTGATTGCAGGATATAGACTTGAGAATATAGACTTGAGAAAGTAAGGGGTGAGGGTCCAGCTCTTAGCTTTCGAGGTTATCTCAGACATGGGCCCCTTCCAGCCCACTTGGGTAGGGACCAGCTCTTCAGAATCTAATAGATGGAGAAAGCGTCTTGTGAGTCATTTTCCTATAACCTGGGGTCACAGAGACCCAAGGCAGGGTACCCTGTTGGCATCACCTGTGGTCTCTTGTGGGATGTCACACAGTGTGGCCAAATCATTTCCGTTCCACAAGTCTAGCGGAAAACTCTCCTGTGTATTCCTGATGGCTCTCTCTCCCTTGCTCCTGTTCACTGAAGGCTGTAGCTTATGGGTGCCAGGAGAGGTAAGCAGCAGTCAGTCTGTCTCTCTTGAAGCAGGAGATCAGTCTGATTCCCCTGTGACTGGGGTCTTTCCCCACTGGTGCCCAGCCCCACTCATCTGTGTGGAGGTGTAGATCATCTACTCGATCCATTCATCATAGACCCTGTCCTTGTGCAATGACTGGTTTTGAGTCCGGAGCACCTGTGCAGCCTGAAAATGGATGTGCCCGTTCTTTTCCTCTGCTTTGCTCGCCTAGGGTCCATTTATGTCCTAGAAGAAGTTTCCCTCCATGTGACGTTTGATCTGTTTTTGTCCAGGTAACTTCCCATAGCTTGCCCTCCCAGTTCCGGCCCTGTCCTATCTAAATCTGGTTGGCTCTGTCAGGCTCTTGGTAGGACTTCGGCAACTCACCCCTCACAGCACCCCGCATAGCGTGCCAATGCATGATGAGCTTCTCTAAACTCTGTCGACTGCAGTTTCACTTCCTCATTTGTCCAGGAGGCTCCCAGGCAAGAGTATGCCATGCTAGAGGCACTAGATCAATGTTCAGGCTTCCAGAGAAAGTGTCACTAGCTATGTGTGTGTCTAGACAAGGTGAGGGCACCCTGACAGGGCCATTGTGAGAACTGGGTGCAATGACACTCATCACACACAGACACTACATGCTGGCCTCTGTTGTGGCTATGATGATGATGATGATGTGTGTGTGTGTGTGTACGCATGTATGAGCACCAGTCCTGGGGCTTGAACTCAAGGCCTGAGTGCTGCTGTTCCTAAGCTTTGTTGCTCAAAGTTAATGCTCTACCACATAAGCCACAGCTTCACTTTTGTTTTTTTTGGTGCTTAATTGGAGGTAAAGAATCTCACAGATGTTCTCGCCTACACTGGCTTCAAACTGCCACCCTCAGATCTCAGCCTCCTGAGTAGCTAGGATTTTAGTCATTGGCATGTGGCCACTGTCGTTATTTCTGCATTGTCACGGCCAGTGAAGACTCAGTGTACAATGAGAGACCCCCACCTGAGTCTGCTGGGTGCAGCTGGGCAAGGTGCTCATGTTCTCATGCTGCATCTGGCTTTGCTATGTCTAGTTTCCTCCCCTGTCACCTGTAGGATCCAAGGTGCACCATTCCAGGCTCTCCGGGATGGTATAGAGGATTTACTGACATGGAAGTAAGGATCTCAAGAGGTAGTGAGGGGGTGAGTGGGTGCATGTGCCAGGTGCTTACAAGCTAGTTGGAGAATACTTTCTAGGAGGAGGCAAGTAGTAAGCAGGAATCAGGTAAACAGTCTCTCGCCTGGTGAGCTTCTAGAATTAGTGGGGTGCAGCGGCTGTAGAGGGCTGAGATCCCAATGAATATGTGTGCTTTTGAACTGTGAGTTACTTGTAAGTTCTTATCAGACACTGTGGTAAGTGAAGTTGTCTTCCTACTGCACCCCATGCCCTTATGGGGAAATGTGCTTGAGAAATGGCAGGTGGCATGGAGCAGCTTCATTGCCCGGGGTATGCTCTGTAGAGTTAATAAAGGATAGCAGAAGGGAAGCTCAATCACTCGGGATAGTTCAAGACTTTTGGCAAGGAGAAAGATTTAAATTTTGAAAGTAATGAAAATGTCTTCACAACAAGAAAAGCCATGGTTCTCATACTTGATAGTCCCTTTTCTGAGTAAAAATATCACAGGGAAATCTACAATTGGGGTGTCATCATTACCCATACATTACTTTCTTATCTTTATAACAACTCGACAAGTAGAAAGAACAGACTGGGTCCATCATTGCAATTCAGACATATGGGAAATAAAGCACAGTACAGTGATATCTGCAAGTCCAGACAATGATGGATGAAGAGCCTCCTTAGATTGCTCAGATATTTTCACTACAACTACAAACCAAAAGGGTCAGCATCTCAAATGTGCTGTTGCTTCTTCCTCCACACCCTCTTCCTTCTTTCTTTCTTCGTTCCTTCCTTCCTTCCTTCCTTCCTTCCTTCCTTCCTTCCTTCTTCCTCCTCCTCCTCTTCCTCCTCCTCCACCTCCTCCTCCACCTCCTCCTCCTCTTCCTCCTCCTTCTTCTTGTGGTCAGTAGTGGGGCTTGTCACAACACTGTCCCTGAGCTCTTTTGTTCTAGTGTTCTACCCCTTTGAGCCACAGTGCCACTTCAATTTTCTGGTGATTCATTGGACATAAGAGTTTCATGGAGGAAGTGGTACTGTGGCTCAAGTGGTAGAGCACTAGCCTTGAGCAGAAGAGCTGAGGGACAGTGCCCAGGCCCAGAATTCAAGCCCCACGACCAAGCAAAAAAAAAAAAAAAAGAGTCTCATGGACTTTCTTTTCTGAGCTGCTTTTGAACCTTGATCTTCAGATCTCACCTTCCTGAGTAGCTAGGATTACACTATCACCTCCACAGAAAACATTAGGTGCTATCAGATTTAGTGTTCTTCATAATAGATTGTTTCTGAGAGGCTCCATTCAGGGCAGAAAGGTTTACCTTGTGCAAGAACTGAAAAATGACTGGATTCACCTGAAAATGCTAGCTGAATGCACGGGTCAAGGAAATACAAGTAGGTGGTACTCATTCACCCATGGAGGGAGGTGAACAGGAAAATGTGCAAGTGTCTTCCCAGAATGCTGTTGTCAGCACTGTTGTTTCTTTGTCATTCCTTGTACTGCTCCTGCCTCTTGAAAAATAAAAACAAAAAAAAACCCAAAACAAAAAACAAACAAAAGAAAATTTCTGCCTCCATTATCCTTGAAGAAGAAAACATCCAACAGTGAGCACATGACCTCTATTTGCACAGAGTTCTGGGTTTACGACTTAGATCACTGGGACAACTGGTGGCATTTTCATTTTTGTCCTAAAACAACCTGCTCTTTTCCTGATCTTGACTAAGACTAAATTCCTATTGCTCACTACTCGTGACTTGGAGATGCCAGGACATACTGATTTTGCACTGAGATCTTCCAAATAGTATGACAATGAGAAGGCAGGTCATTCACAGCTGCTTAGGCTACATGATCCTGCACTGATCAGTCAACCTTGGGCAGCTACAGGACAACCTGGCGGTACCCAGGATGTCAACATGGGGCATTCATGACCATGGAAATGTCCCCGAGGGACATTTTAACCATTCACCTAAAATGTACAAACATATCCATTATGAACTCAAAGGATGAGGCCCAACATTCTTAGAGTGACTTTTCATAGCCTTTGTAGATAGGAACCACTCATGCTTTCTCAGAAGGCTTTTTTTCCCCCACCTACATTTTCAGCAGATACAGACACAAATTTTACACTAAAACAGACAGGACCATTCAGGGAGGAGAGAAGCTATGAGACCAACTGTTTTCCATA